CTTTGGCCTTTAATTTCCTATTTAGACAAGCAGGGAATGTTATGTTATGCAGACTCTTACAGAGACTTGATTTCATCATTTAACTCTTGTTACCTTCTTCTTTAGTTTCTTGAAAATATGCTAGGTTACAAAATATGAAGGTTTTGTAAGCTACCTTCAGTGCTTATAGAACAGAACAGAACTCTTTATTGGCCAAGTGTGATTGAACACACAAGGAATTTGTCTCCAGTCCATAAGCTCTCAGTGTGCATACAAGCAATAAGTGACAAATTATCATAATATAAAATACAATCATCATTAATCATAAGAACACCTAATCATAGTCATAGGATATTAAATAAGCAATCAACAAATCATAAGATACAAGTGCGACAAAATCATAGTCATAAGAAACTAAATAAATAGATAATAGAAAGATGAGAAGGATAATAGTGCAGGTAGTCCTCGACTTACAACAGTTTATTTAGTGACCGTTCAAAGTTACAAAAGCACTGAATAAAGTGATTTAAGACTGTTTTTTTGCACAAACCAGAGTAATATATTCCAAAGGATCCAGCAGCTTAGAGTATTACTATGAAAGAACAAATGAAATCTTCCTTGCAGGTATTCCTTGGTTAATGACAGTAATTGGGATAGGAGTTTCCATTGCTACATGAGGTGATTGTAAAGCATATCATGTGCTTAACACTTAGCAACAACAATTTGGCATTTCTAGTTGCCATCATTAAGTGAATCCCACACCACTGTTAAATTGGAACCTTAGATGGTCACATTTGGTTGCAATCTCCTGCCAGCTTTCCCACTGACTTTGCTTATAGGAAATTGTCAAAAATGTTCCATGCATGGAGTCGTAGGGTAGCACATGGAATATATTATATCAAACCTGAAAGAAGGATTTTGTAGTGTTTGATTAGATTCAGACTCCAGCGCTTAACAACGAAAATCAACTCATTTCTTCTTATTCAGGATTCCTGCTTCAGTAGAATTTAGCTTTCATCATTGCTCATGGATAGATCGGGCCATAAGATTGGCAGTGAAAGAAAGTAAGAGAAAATGGGACAAAGGGCAATTTGAAAAAATATGATTACAGATATTTAATCATTATTCCCATCAGAAACCAAGTGTAAAGGATGTAGACTAAAGCCATTCACATGTAAGAGTTTTAAGAAGGGATTTTGAAAGGAGATAACATTAACCAAACAGAATAGATTAACAAAGTATAGCTATTCTTGCTTTATAAAATCTCTCCTTAAAAGATAATCAGAGTACTGTTAACGAGAGAAAATGAAAATACTGCCAGATTTGCCAGTAAGAAGAAAAAAAGATTGTGGATGAAATGTTAGCATTTGGCCACAAGATGACACTGGATGGCAGTTTAAATCAAACCTCTGATGAGAAATCTTGCTGAAAAATAGACCTAACAACAAGAGAGATTTTGTTACAATAATGATTAAAAATAATCTGGTAACAACAAGCCCTTTTATCAGCTTTCCTTTTGATGATTAAAAAAATCTGCTTTTAGGAATAAATGATGAGATTAAGACATATTAGTTTGTTGCATTTTAATGCTCTTTAAGATTCCTTCAGTGCTAGTTCTTGTTTTAATTATTTTGAGCATGTGGAATGTGGCATTTTGTTGGTTCACTGTGAATCAAAACAGAAAGATGGGAGAGAGCTGAGAAGAAGCTGAAAACTCCTTTTCAAGTTTATAAAATAAATGGCAAACTGAAATCAGCATGTACTATATGAATATTCGTCATAACATAGGGTGTATAAGAGCCAGTTTGGTATAATGTGAAGGCATCACGCTAGCAACTGGGACACTGTGATTTCCAATCCTGCCATAGGCACAAAGGAAGGAGGCAATGGCCAATTACTTCTGAAATCTTGCCAAGAAAACTGCAAGGACATGACCAGGCAGTGGTCAGTCAACACTGATGCCAAAGATGAACATGCACACACACATGCACACACACACACCTCGCAGCACCAAATATCAATTTCTGAACAGCATATTGGGCAGGAAAATGGAAAAATATTTTTAAATGGGTGAGAAATTAAGTTCTTCTTAAAATAACATTTTCCCTTCTCATCTTAATTGATCTGCAAGTTTAAAATAAATTAAGATGTGAGCCCAAAAACCTGAAAGCAAAGTCTAATGTTTAAACAGAGTTTTCAAACAGAGAGGTTTGAAGGGTGAGACCAAGGGAGATGGTGGTGGTAGTAGCAGCAACAAGCAGCTTTGTAGCTGGAGATAACAGCGCTAGGAAGACTCTAGGGACAATAGTTGACTCTCATAAACAGCCTCTAGGCTGCAGGTTCTACACCTTTGTCATGAAATAATGTTTTGATATGTGTATGAAGGCGACCTCTAGCCCTCCAGTTGAGGCATGGGTTCATCTATAATTAAAGAAAGTGAGTAAGATGTTATATGCTGAAATGCTATTGCCAGCTCCAATTATATGCAATCTCATCCCAGCCATATGTGTTGATTCATTTAAATAACTGGGTAACATTGAAAATACTGCCATATGGGGTACTCCAGCTTGCCAGGTAAGGCTTTTAAAATAATAATAATTTAATACATGTCTATTCGATCCAACTCTCAATGACTCTGGACAGCTCAAAACAAATTAAAAAATTACAATAAAACGAGTAAAACATAAATCTCAACAATCCACCAATATGCCTTGGCCAGTGAAAAATAAATTGTACTTGAGCTGGTTATGGATTACCAGCTATAGCCTTTTCATGTCATTGTTTATTCAGATTATAATTACTACTTGAAATTCTCCTGTTTCATTTAGTGACAATCATAAAAGAAAATGTAATAATGGTATCTGACCATGGCAAAGAACAGAAGTCAATGCCTTGCATCTACAGATCATGCCTACTGTGCTCCAAAGTAAAGATTAAACTGGTGGTATGTCCATTTACAGGTAATCTTGAGTGGACCAGAATGTAAGTCATTGCAAAACCCTACTCAAAATTCACATTTTCCATTGATCCTTTGACTGTTTGAAGAGGGCTGTTTTGGATTGTAAGGAGTTCAGGACAGGGATCTAAGTGTCCCTCCCCTCTCTTTCTTCGCCCCCCCCTCCCCATTACTATGAAAAAAAGTCTTCATTGTTGCTCAAAAGAAAAAACATAATTGGACATGAAACAAAATGTCGGATTGCTTCCTTGCTTTTTTGCAATCCTTTAAGATGTGATTGCCTCATTTTTAGAAAATCACTTGAGTGTACCTAGAATTATGTTAGCAATACCCTATGTGCCATACAGTTTTGAAGATTCAATATGAAGCTCTAGATTAAAAATAACATAACTCATGCTCTTTGATGCAAATGAGGCCAAATTGGGAGCAAGAAGAGACTTTAACATTCAGAAAAAGAAGATGAATAGTACGTGATTAGATGGACAGTGCTTGCTCTATTATTAAAAATAAATCAGTTCTTTTGTTCTGATGAACCTTCTGCTCTATTTGCAAGGAATTATATTAGCAACAGAAACTGTAAGAAGCTGTCCAATAAATAAAGCTAGGCCATAAAATAATGAAGGCCTATTTAAAACCTAATTTGTACAACAGCAAACAAAATTCTATATTTTTCAGTTATGAGAAGCAGTTAAAAACTTATCACAGCTTTAAACTGTGATTCAATGTATTAATCCAATTAAATTTTCTACATCAGCTATACTATTTATAGATTTAAAATATGCTACATAATAATCCATAAACAGTAATCTTGATTCTCTGATAGAAATCAGTATTTCCTCGAATGGCAAAGGAACATTATTTTTCATAATTAATATATGCTTATACATTATAATCCGAAGATTGGTTTCATGCACTGCAATAGCATATTTATGGGGGGAAAAGCTATATTAATTTCCAGAATATATTTGCTAATTCTGACTGCCACATTTTAAGGATGTTGTAAAATTGGAGTGAGCCTAAAGAATAAACTGGGGAAAATGATGCCTGGAAATTACATTCTTCAAGAAGCAATAGATAAAAGTAGATATTTTTAGCTTGAAGAGAAATGAAACGCAATAAATTGTTTTCAAATCTATTTATTTGTGACTATATGGAAAGTCAGAGTCGTAGTTGCAAGTACCCTGCCCGGAGGAATTTTAAACCTCTAAAATTTTGTAATTCTAAGTAATACTACCAGATCAGGGACGCACCAAATTTCACTTTTTGTTGTCATCCTGTAACCATCTATATTTTTGCAGCTCACATCTAATAATCTAATCATACCCATTTTGTGAGACATGGCTATAGGTATGGTTTCTAATTAGATGGAGGCAGCGATCAACATTGGGTCATTTGGAAAGGCAACCGCAGAAGAACCATCTAGAAGGACAGGTCATTTTGCTGCCTTTTTAATTTTGCTGCAGAAGAATCAGTCAGCTGAGTGCAAGCAGGTCATGCAGAAAGACAAATAACTCAAACATATCCTAACCATTGCTGTATTTCCCATACAATATCACTTGAAAAACATCTTACAGTGTATAATATTAATTTGACAAATCTAATAAGTACCTTTTAATGAGACTTAGTGCCAAAGCTATTTCCTGGGATGCAATGCTCCAAACAGACCACAAGATGGTACATTTTACTATACTCTTATGAACTATTTTCTTCTGTATATTTCTTTTAAAAAGCTATTTTACTGCCATCTAGTCTTGGAATTTATCCTCTTCCTCTTTGAATGTTTGCATTTTGAAAAGTAACATTTTTTTAACTTTAAACTTGGATAACATTTTTTTTTAAAGTTTGAATACTGGTAGGTTTATTTCTAGTGAGATTGGTATATTTCCATAGAAAAGTTCAACTAGTCATATGTATGACTCTATGCTATATGAATAGTCAGAAGGTTCCAGTAGTGAAGCTATTTTGCACTTTTATTTTTTAATTCCCAGTACAGAAAGGCAGACTGGGGGGCGGGGGGGGGATAGTGGAGGGTGGGGTGGGGACTGGCATGCTCTGGTCCATTGCAGGTCTGTCTCATGCATTGGATTTATGAGTTGGATGAAATATGTCCCAAATAATATGTCCCAGATAGTGGGAACTACCACTCCAAAGAAGAAGGCAGAGTTAGAGTTGGGAAGATCCAGAAAAGATGCTACCACCTTCACCCAGTATGAGTTCAGCCTGTCCAATTGCAATGTGAGATACTGATCCCAGTTACAGAGTGTTTGGGTTTCAGTTACTGCAGCTAAAGTTGGTGCCCCAGCTAGAGAGTCTCGGAGCAGCACAGAAATTAAATAAAACTACTGAATCTAAGGCTGAAGAAGCTTCTTGAAACGTCTTAAGAGAAAGTCAAGTTGCCTCTTGAAAAAGACTTTTGAGGCAATCATGACGTGGGTGACCGAAAATCTCCATAGACATTTATTGATTCTAAACGGAGCAATTACTTTTTCACACTAACATACTATGTGCCGCATGACTTGACTTTGTTTACACCGAACTAAAACGAGCACTTAAAGATGGTATTCGTGTATTGCAGACCCTCTTTATGTAGATCTCTAACATTCATCGGACAAAGATCCGCAAAACGTCAGAAAATTCCCCACGGGGGGAATTTCACAACCTTGCACGTTGCCACTCACTTCCTAGGAATGGAGACCGCCGGACTCAAGGCTACCTACATTTGAGGCGGCATCTGCAATGCAAGTAGCCTTCAAAGCGCCCCAGCCGTCTCTTCTCAGGGCTCCGGATCTCTGGCATTTCTCCGGTAGGGAAAGCGAGCGCCTAGAGCTGGCGAGCCTAAAGGGGAAAGGCGGCTGAAGGCAGCCAAGAGAGACGCCTTCCCGCTCGGCGCTTCCACCTCCTTTCTCCCCCTGCCGAGACAAAACGGCCCATCAAGCCAAACCTCCCACGCCGCTTTCTCGCCCCTGCAGGAGGACCAGGCAGGCCGGAGCGCGGCCGTCCGCGAATGGGCGAGCGAAGGACACGGTTGCGTTGAGGTGAGGCGGGGAAAACGCAGGTATGTAGGGCGCCCGCCCGGGACCTGGTTGTTCCTCTCCCGGTTCTCTCTGCATCCCCGCTTTTAGCTAGAAGAGAGGGAAAAACATGGCGTCAGCCGTGAGGAAAAAGCGGGGCGGGCAAGAGCAGCGGCGTGTCCAACCCAGCCAACCTCGAGAGGCGGCTGAGAGGAAGAGCGGCGCTCGCTGAGGCGACCAGGCTCGCTTTTCCGCCTCCTTTAGTACAAGTTCGGCCTTCTCCTCCTCCCCCTCATTTCTCTGCGGCCGTGCTCGCCTCGCGCCGCTCCACGGCCGCACAAAGCAGCTAGACGGGGGAGGGGGTGGCGTACGTGTGGAGGTGCTCTCTTGCCCCCCGGGCGTTTGGCTCTGGCGCAACCTTGGCATAATGGCCCTTTCCCCGCTAGTCGCCGAAACAGCCGATATCGTTTTGTATGTGTGCGCGGGTGCGTGCGCGCGCGCATTTCTTCCTCTGTGCAATTTATGCCTTGGCTGGAAGTGGGGCGGAGGGGGGGGGAGGGAAGCCTTTTATTTGTTGTGGCTCCTGCAGTTGCCAAGTGAGGAGAGGCCAACCGTGCTGCTCTTTTTTAGTCGGATCGTAGCTGCTGTGTATTTTTAGGCTACTGGCAGTTTTTGTCCATTTATTAATGTGCCTTGAAACCCCCAGCCCAGCCTGCAAGTCGTTGCAACAACTCTGAAATATAAAGACAGGTAAGGTGATCAGTTAGAGCTGATGTGGATGTGAAAAAGGAGCGAAGTGGTGGTGTTGTCGCTTCTGGAATCGGCTCCTCAGAGTTGTGTTTTTAAAGGTAGAGTTTGATGCCCCAATTTAAGACAATGATAAAAACAATGAATCACACTTTCTGCATATCTGAATGGCACTGATGCACACGTGTTCCCATTTTCTGGTTAACTGGCAAGAACAAGTGCTATAAACAAAAATTTGGTTTTGACCAGTGCTGTATATATTTAAATCTCCACAAATCTTCATATGTAATTATACCCTGATGTATGCTACAAATCTCATAGATTGAAGATAGTCTTTGAAGGCTATGCCAGTAGCCCACTTTCTTACTTCAATATTAGTATAAAAGAATTTAATATGTAACTGATTTTGCTCTCTAGACAGTTAATTGTGTTGGTGTTTTTCTGTTCTATTAGATAAATATATTTATTTTATATCCCAGCCTTTTTGTCAAAAATGCCTTTATCTTCACCATAAAGAATGTTTAGATTCTGTGAGGTCCATGACTGAGTGAAGAACTGAAAATATATTAATAGATGTAGTCTGATCCTCTAACAATAAGAATACGTTCTGGATCACAGTAACTCTAAATTTAGTGAGCCGTCTTGTGCCAATATAATTTGATCCAAAAGTTTGTCTTGAGAAAGAAAACACTATTTTTTTAGATGCCAGAACATGGCTTCAGGGGCACACTTAATCCCTCTAAAGAGTTTTAATACATAGTTCTGTTTACAACTCCACTATATATTATACCCTTACATATGCATAGGAGCTCACATTTTAAAAAGTGTCTTCCTGTAATAGCTTTGTTGCTATTGCTTTTGGGAAAAGGAGTCATTTTCAACTGCTTTCCTGACAGGGAGAGCAAATTGATTTTCTTAGTTGATCAGTAGGACAAATGAAATTGGGTAATGTAGGATACTAGGGTCTGTTGCAGTGAAGAGCGAGTCAGGATTAGAGATGTGCAAAACATTTTGAAATATTTTGGGCTTCAAACGCTCCATCTTGAAACAATTATTTTCAGATAGATTTTTCTAGCCTTATCAGAATTCCAATACTAATTCAACCCCATTCAAAACGGATCAAAACAGAACCGGAACATTTCCAATAAAGGCACAACAGCTATTTTCAAGCTTGATGATTTCAAATTTTAAACATTTCACACTTCACAAATCAGGATAAGACACAAGAACCTGTTGGGTCAGTAAACCTCAGAGAAGGTTTGAAAGGCACATTACGTGTCCATGAGCTTGCTGATCCCTGGATCAAGCAGACTATGGAAAATTCAACAGGGAATGAAGTATGGAGAGGGGGAGATAAATTGTTTATAGTATGTGTTCCCTTGAGAGTCAATATCATACTGGCTTACATTTATCGTGTTACATAATATGAAAACCAGTATTCCGAAGAGCATTTATTAAGAAAGTCTTACATTTCTAGTTTCTATGGGTTTTACAAGAGAAATCATATTAAATATTATAGTAGAAAGCTTGGGAATTGCACTTAACTTTTTTTACTAACAGAGAAAATTAAAAATAGGGCTAGAACAAGGTAATAAATGTTATTGAATAGCTATCTTGGTAGTTCTTTATTGCTAACAGAAAAGGCAGTTCTCGAGAATATATGACACATAGTGTAGATTGAAAAAGGCTAAAACATATGAGAAATGGTTGTGGGAACTGGCTATGTCTAGTCTAATGAAAAGAAGGATTGGGGTAACATGATAGCTGTCTTCCAATATTTGGGAACTGTCACTAAGATGGGGTGAACAGTCTATTTTGCAAAGCATATGTGGGCAAGACAAAAAGTAACTGATGGAAACTTATCAAAGAGACTTTCAACCTAGAACAAAAGAGAACTTTCCTGACAGTGAGAACAATTAATCAATGGAAGGAAGAAGTTGTGAGTGCTGTAGGTGTTTTTAAGAACATATTGGACAGGCATTTGTCCACAGTGGTATAGGCCAGTGGTCACCAACTGGTGGTCTGTGAGGAAATTTTGGTGGTCCGCAGAATTTTTTTTTTGCAATTTTTATATTGCACTAAATGCTATTTATCTTTTTTTAAAAATCCATATTAGTGGTCCGCGGGATTTAAAATTATGAATTAAGTGGTCCCTGAGGTCCAAAAGGTTGGTGACCCCTGGTATAGGCTTTGATGCTTAGGCAGAGGGTTGGACTAGAAGACTTCCAAGATCCCTTCCAACTTTGTTATTCTGTATTCTGTAGATTCGGGACAAAGCAATATAGTAAAGATCATTGGGTTTTTGAAAGAATGAACAGAAGCCCTGATGTTTAAAGTGAGGCATGCATGCACAGTTTTCTTTAAAAAACACTGCTTTATTGGCAATATTTGAAAAAATGCACTTTTGGTAAAATTGCTTTCTTTTTTCTTTTTTGTTCTCTTTCCTCTTTAGAAAAATGAAATTCAGCCAAAATTTGAGTAAATAATTATGGGCCCAGATGTGCCTCTATTGAATGACCACAAGCAAGAATTCCTATTAAAGCGATTTCCACAGAGCATTTTGGGTGGCCCTCAATTTAAATTAGGATACTGTGCACCTTCTTACATCTATTTGAATCAGATTCTTCTCTTCTTGATACCATGGATTCTAGGTGGAATTGGAACGCTTATGTATCAGTTAAATGTTCTGCAAGACTATGGCACAGCTGCACTTTCTGGAGGACTAATGCTTGTTGCAGCTATTATTGTTCAAGGAATAAACTTGTATGCCAGGCAAAAGACTGCACCTGTAGAAAGAATGCATGTCCACAATATATTAACAGAGGAAGATGAGTGGGAGTTTTCTAGCTGTATAGGTTTAGAGACAATCAAATTTATTATCCCAGGCAAAAAATATATAATTAATGTGTTTTTTCACTCACTTGTTGCTGGAGTACTATGTGGTTTAGGAACTTGGTATTTGCTGCCCAGTAGAATTGCCTCTTTATATGGAGATAATATTGGAACAACTGTGGTGATCTTCGTATTTGGATGGTTGACAGTGTGCATTGGAGAATATTCCTTAATTGTTAATACTGCTTCAGAGACAGCTACTTATCAAGCACTGGACACTTATGAAATTGTTCCTCTTATGAGACCATTCTACATTTTTGTCTTCATAGCAGTGGATCTTGCTCACAGGTAAAAAAAAAATACAAATAATGACGTGCTCTTAAAAGGATATCAATCTAGCTTTGTAAGTGACTTGTTTGATGCACATGGGCTTATTAATAGATAATGAAGTAAATTTATAATACAGTGAAAGGTGGACAGAGTTGTAATGAATCTTTTTCCATTCCATTTTTTCCATTCTAGAAATAATATTCTCTTCTACTTCCATTTAGATTTGTTGCTGATGCTGCAGCTTTAAAGTTGGTCAATCAGGTTATGCACATCGTATTTTTGTCGTTGCCACTTTTATGGACTTTGGGGATTCTGCCTCCATTGGATGCACTTTTTCTCTGGGGAATGGAACAAGTGCTGGAACTTGGGCTAGGGGGCTCACCTATGTCAAATAATGTAAGGTAAACATTATTTTACATAACTTCAATATTTCCAGATAGTTTAGTTAAGTATGTTAGTAACAATTTAAAAACCTTGTAGTATCTCAAGTGTGCAGGTATTTATTCTGTCATACATTTTCATGGACTATGACCAGTTCATAGTCATATAATTATTGAGAGGCAGAATAATCCAATAGTGAAATCAGGTGAAATTGCCCACATTTTATTTTCTGGTGATTTCAGTAGTTATACTCCACACATACAAATCATTTAGTCTCTTATACAAACAACAGACTGAATAAACATAGCAGTTCATTTATCTGATGAAATTTCCACAAAATATTATTAAAGCTGCTGAGATTCTGTATAAAGCATAGTAATTTAGTTAGAGACCTTATATACCTTCTCAGATAAATGCAAGTATCCTAGCTTGCCTTGAGTCCTGAGTCCTAGACTGTAGATTACTTCTAATAGAACAGTTGAATAGATAAATCAATTACCATGGGAGGTATAAACTTCATCTGAACTGGTTATGTTCATGCAGAAGCTGAAAAGTCTTCTATTGTGGATGCTGTAACTTAGATTCTTGTTTGGATTAAGAGTTATGCAGATTTTTTCCCAATTGTATAATTTTATGTGGGCTGCTAAAATGTCTTCTAAATACTTTACATATTAAACCTGCAGGCCTATTATACAGAACATATATAATCGGCAGAATCTTACAGAAAGATAAATTGTATATCTATCTATATCTATATCTATCTATCTATCTATCTATCTATATCTATCTATCTATCTATCTATCTATCTATCTATCTATCTATCTATCTATCTATCTATCTATATACCTTTATTTCATAAACCACCATCTCCCTCCGAGACTGGGTGGTAAGTTTAGTTAAGTGGGAAAATGTTAGTGAAAATAGATGAACTATTTGTACAAATTCTTTCTTTCATATACATTGATTTATTTTTTTATTACAGACTGCTAGCAATGTTTATCATTTCTTTGGGAACAGCTGTTGCATCTTACTTCATCCCTAACACGCTTGGTGTGGTTCTGTTCATGACCGGATGTGGATTTATACTAAGTCTTAATCTAAATGAGATTGGATTAACCCTCAAATACACTATGATCAGCTGTTTAGCTTCCAGCAAATTTAAAAGCACGTCTTCCTGCAGAACACAATTTGTATGGAAGGAATTAATGTTCTATTTCATTGTACTGACTTTTGCTCTTCTGGAAGCTGGCTTATTGCACTTCTTCCTTGGTTTTCAGACATTTTCCAAGACTAGCCTACAAGGTGTTATTAGTTACATATTGATAGTATTGCTTCTTGCTCAATGGATTCTCAGAGAGGTTCAAACAGTATATTTGTTTGGATTGTTTCGAAATCCCTTTTATCCAAAAGACCTAATGACAACGAATGTGTCCGGAAGGAAGGAAAAGAACCTTAAGAAAATTGGTATGTTAAGGAAGATTTTACTCACTTTAGGTAAGAAATCTCAGTTTCTTCTTTTATATAAGTACAAAAAGAGTAAAATGCATCTTGTGAAATTATGAAATGTGTTTAGAGCAAGGGGAAAGTGGTGGTGATCAGATCAGAAACTGAGTAAAAGCTTATTTCCAAACTTTAGTTTCTGAAATTGATTTCTTCTCCCACCTTAAAATTTTAATAGTTTTAAGTTTAACATTGAACGTGGTTTGCCTACAAACTTTGATTTTTGGAGGGATGAAAAGGTTATGCACCTTTCTCATATGCAAACAGATGATGTAAATTCTGAAGTAAATTCTGGGGAAATAATATTGGCCATTAGACAATGCTAGTATTATAGTTCATACAAAGATACAAAATTATTTGAAATATGTTGGATCATCTGACTTCTCATTTATTAATTATGAAAAGGAAAACTGTTACCAAATATGTAACAATATATTATTCAATTCTTAAAATGTTCCGATTTCCTCAATCTACCACTTTTCAAAAGTTAGTGATAGAGTAACCGTTTGATGTTATATCAGGTTTGAAGCTAAAATTTATTTGATTTGATCATTTAGATATTAAATTTATATTATGACTTAGTATTGCTTTCTGAAATTGAAAGATCCAAGAACTCAAATGATTATGGGACATCTGATTGCTGCAAAGACGTCTCACAACATTTTAGAATTCTGCATGCCAGAAAGAATTTTTAGTATTCCATTTTCCAAAGTACTACATTACAAACTAGACAGCATCACCTTTATTTATTTGTCAGTTTATACATATTCCACTGTTCCCTTAATAAGTGACTTTTGTAAAACAAAACAAAAAACATGAGAAAACTTTATACATTACTCAGTCTTGTTGCTTCCCTTTTTTACCTTGCCACAGAATTCGAAAGAGAAATCAGAAACAAAATAAAAATCAGAGAATCATACAAAAACTGAATAGCTATTTATGCAGTTGAAGGTTTTATATATACCATATTTTTCGGAGTATAAGACACATCTTTTTCCTTCAAAAAAGAGGGTGAAAATCTGGGTGCGTCTTACACACTGAATACAGCATTTTTGGCCTACTGAAACCCTGCCCCCTTTGCAAAAATGGACGTTCAGAAGGTTTGGGAGGCTTGCAAAGTGCTCCTGGGGGCTGGGGAGGGCAAAAATGTGCAAAAAACAGACAGTTTTTGCTCATTTTTGGCCCCCCATCCCCCAGGAGCACTTTGCAAGCCTCCCAAATCCTCTGCAAGCCCCCACTTTTTTTGCAAAAAAATGGCCAGTTTTTGCAAAAAATGGGCCGTTTTTTGCTCGCTTTTGCCCCCTCCCCCCAACCCCAGGAGCACTCTACAACTCTCCCAAAGCTCGGCATGCCCCCCCCCTTTTTGTTTTGCAGAGTGCAAAAACTTTTTAAAAAAAAAATTACCTCTTCAAAATCATAGTGCGTCTTATATTCCGGTGCATCTTATAGTCTGAAAAATACAGTAGTTTTTTGCATAAGAAAAACACTCATATCTTTTTTCTTTTTTCTTTTTTTTTTTGTAATTTCAGTGTCACCGTTTGCTATGATAGCATTTCTTTCCATAGACAATTCTCTACATCAACTTTCATCCATATATATTTCCATTGGATTTTCAAGAAGCTTTAGAATGGTAAATTTCAAGCATTTTATGTTTTTTATAGGATAACCCAATATATTGCAATGTAACCACTGAATCTATTAAATAAAAGACAAGAACTCATTCTAATTAGAAATTAATACTTGATTCCATGAAATTGTAGAGAATGTTTTTTTTTGTATGTTAGGACCAATATTAAATTTAGGCATCTCTAGTTAAAGGGTTTTGGGTAGCATCGCTTGACCTCAAACATGGCACTTTTTGGCTGCTGACACTAATACAAAAGTAAGGATATTTTTTTAGAATGATTGTGTATAGAATCTTTTAGCATTTGGTAAATATTGATACAATAACATTCCAAGACTTGTTATACTCAGCTCAGTGAATTACTGTTTTAATGAAGCATATTCAGATGCATACCACAGCAAGAAGCCACACTTAGGTGAAACCTGGCTGAATTTGGATTCTAGAAAAGGTCATCCTAATTAGTATTTGGATAGAGAAACCATCTATGATTTTAATAGCTGTTAGTTAGATGGGAAAATTTAAAAGCATACAGGTACCCTTCAGTTAATGAACATTTGTTCAGAAACAATTCAAAGGTACAACAGTGCTAAGGCTTACAGCTAGGCCTGAAATTCATTGCTATCACAGTGTCCCCTTAGTCATGTGATTGCAATTTGGGTGGTTCAGCAACAAGCTCACAATTATGAGGGTTGCAGCATCTTGTGGTCATTTGATTGCCTTTTTTGACTTTCACTGCTGCCTTCCTATAAGCAAAGTTAATGAGGAAACTGGCAGGTGATTGCAATTGGCAATTACGTGGCATTGCACCTAAAAGCAACAGCAGGAAGTACCAGAGTGCCATTGAAACTCAGCGCAGTTATGTGACATCACTCTTTACAATCTGATTACTTAGCAACAAAGTTCCCAGTCCTAATTACAATTGTTAACCGAGGACTACCTGTATTGGATAAGCCAATGTCTTATGATATTATAATTCAATTAATGTGTCCATGAAAAAAAACTCAGTGGAAATATCCTTGAAACCATCCGGAGTCAAACCCAGTATGAGGGAGACTCTGTTATGTAATTCTATGTCTGCAAATTTCCTATATATTTCATTTATTCTCTAGTATGTTCTTATTTTTCTGATAAGAATACGGAGTATGATGTATTTCCACATGTTGAAGTTAGAAATTGAAATGAAGACCATAAAAGGTAGTAAAATGGAAAGAATCATAAAGTAATATTGTTACACGCACGCTCACTCACTCACTCACTCACATTCCATTGTTTGCTTTGATGCCTGGACTTCCATGGGATGCAAGATCGTGGAGAGCCCAGTAGATTTTAGGCAATATTGTTTTATTGTTCTGAAAAAAACAGAACAATGGGCTTGATCAGTCATGAACTGTAAAGTGTATTTTATATCTGTATGATAAAACTGCAAAAATACTTGTTTTAGGTGTGGCAAGATACAGAGCATGCTCTGTTGGATATGGTGGTAGTGTCTGCAGTGCAGTTGCTGGTGTTCACTACTGATCTCTGGTGGAACAAAAGCATTGATACAGGAATTAGACTCCTGCTGGTAAAACACTTTTATTTATCATATTTTACTTGTGTAGGTTGAATCTCAATTTGAGAAACAAACTGATAGGGAACCAAGGTGATAGAAAACTACACTTACTGGATAAAAAAGTCTATTTTTTAAAAAAATACAACAGTGGAATGCAGTCCATTAATACGACTTGCCTCCAGAAGTTGTGGGTGCTCCAACACTGGAGGTTTTTAATATGAGATTGGAAAACTATTTGTCTGAAATGGTACAGGTAGTTCACAACGTACGTCTACAACTGAGCCCAACATTTATGTTGCTAAGTGTGAAACTTGCTAAGTGAGTTTTGCCCCATTTTATAATTCTTCTTGTCGCATTTGTTAAGTGAATCACTGCAGTTGTTAAATTAATAACATGGTTGTTAAGTGAATCTGGTTTCCCCCATTGACTTTGCTTGTCAGAAAGTTGCAAAAGGGGATCACATGACTTATGACTGCAACCATCATAAATATGAGTCAATTGTCAAGCATTCGAATGTAAATCACATAACCGTGGGGAAACTGCAACGGTCATAAGTGTGAAAAATGGTCATAAGTCGCTATTTTCAGTGACATTGTAACTTCGAACGGTCACTAAATAAACTATTGTAAGTTGAGGACTACTTGTATAGGGTTTCCTGCTTGAGCAAGGGGGTGGACCAAAAAACCTCCAATTCTGTTATTCTAATTATTTTATTAGCAAATATAGATTTTGTTGGCTAAATTGGATGAGAGATGATTTTCGTCTAGAATCCAAAATAATTTGCAGTCTTCTCTGGAACAGACTTTGACAGCATACTGCAGATTCATTCATGTAGGTATGCATAACTGATAGACGTTTTTGTCAAAATTTAGAGTCAGACTATTCAAATTTTAAGAATTTCACTTTGAATTAAAATCTATGACATATTGGCAAGCAGGACATCTGGCATACATCCTGATTTGCCTACTTCAGTCTGTCTGGGAAAAGCCTTCTGATTTTTCAAAAGCAGCTTCACATAATTCTCTATTGACAAAGTTAATTTCCTCTTTCTACCCTCCCTTCAAAATTAATTCAGATTCTTCAATTGAAGTTCAGAAAACTTGAGTTTCCTTCGCTAATAAAAGTTCAGGGTCTTTCATGAACACTCCAAATGCTTTAGAAAAATGAAATCCCATGAAGAAGCATATAAATGAAGGAAATACATTATTGCTATTTCTCTCTTATTAGGTTGGAATTATTCGGACTCGGCTGTTTCAATTTGTTTCAAAATTGCAATTTGCCATTACTGTTCTCTTGACATCGTGGACAGAAAAGAAACAGCGACGGAAATCCACAGCTACTTTGATTACACTGAACATTGCTTTCTTTCCAATTGTATTGGCCATCATAGTGCTCTCTTCATTGCTTTCTTCTCCCTTGCTATCACTTTTTAGTCTCCCAATATTTTTGATAGGCTTTCCAAGACCAGTCCGAAGCTGGCCAGGACCTGTGGGCATGATGACCTGTGTAGGTCCTGATGCTGTATATTATCAACAGATGATTCCAAGTTTAAGGACTGCATTGCAATCAGCATTCTCAACAGGCAGGTTAGGTAAGTTAAAACGTGGCTCATGAGACCAGCTGATTAAGTATCCATGAACTTTCCCTCAACTGCAAAGGAATCTACTGTAGGTTTCTAGACACAGCAGGACTGATTTACAGGCTCTTGTATGATAATCTCATAGATGTAGGAAATTATTTGCTGCTATAATAATCTGAGTGAAATTTCAGTATCATAGAAATGAAAATAGAATTTCATATACTACCAAACTGATGCTTTGGTTTGCTTGTAGATGGTATCAGGTCCATGAGCTTAAGGTAGCCTACATGTATTCCCTCATCCAATTTAATCCCTACAACAAAATTCTAAAAGTAATTTGACTGGATGATAGCAATTAGCCCAGAATTCAACCAATGCAGCTGAATGTAGGTGATGGATTTGATTCTGTAATGACCGGGGAGAGCAAAAAGATGTTTGAAATTTCCACAACTAACCAGAGAAATAAAAGCAGGAGTCTGATCGTTAGGAGCTATGTGTTTTAAAATATTTTTTTAAACCCTCTGGTCTTTAATGGCATCCTTGTCTAGATTTTCTTAGCAGGGTATTGTGTTATATTTTCATACTGAGCATATTTTTATTCATTTAGACAGCAATGTAGATTTAAGATTATTTTTCTATAAAAATGGTAACAAGAGAATGCACTCTTTTTGCTCAGCAGTCCTAAAAAGGCTATTTAATTTTAATGACATAAAGGCAGATTTCTTGAATTCATTTTTAGGCTATTCTGAAACTCAAGATTTTCAGCTTGGGCATGACTGGAAATTACTAATGACTGATATATCTCTAATCTCAGCCTTCAAATGGTGAGATGAGTGACAAATAAATTTAATAATAATGACTACAGGTATACCAAAGAAAGAATTGATGTAATATATTATACATAATACATAATACATACATAATTTTTGCATTAATATATATTTGTAATTAATATTTTGCAGAAAATTGCAAAACTTTTAAATTTCAGCAAAAATGCCTGAAAATGATGTCGTTATCAAAATGTCACTAATTCTTTTGTCACTGAGATATTTCAGGAATAGTGTTTTTATCATTATAAGGTTCTATTTGTATTATAAAACCACCATATTTACTACAATTTCTAAGCAGTAAAATACATAAAAAAATGCAAGCTCTGTTAACAGCCATGTATCTAGAATTCATATCTATAATAAGCTTCACGTAGTGATTTTAAACTGAACCCATAATGCAGTCTGGTTTGTTTATATACCACTTTTCCAACTTGTGTTATTACATTATATGATCATTTTTTATTAAGATGTGGACAATATATATCAAAATATCCTTGAGTAAAAACAAATCCTTATTTGGGGATTCTTGTTTCCAAAGGTTTCTGTTCACCTGGATCCCACTATCTGTGCCGATTTCAAGACAGGTTAATATGGATCCTTGTTTTAGAAAGAGGCTATACTTACTGTTGTCTCAATATCAAGGCAAGTAGCATTGAAAGCATCTGTTGTTTTGCTGTAGTTCCTTTACATATTAGTGGAAATAACCATACCTCTTAAATGTACAACATATATATGAACTAGTTTTCCAAAAAATCCTGAGAAGAGTTGAAAATAAAAGCTTACTTGATTCACTTAAAATCAATTTAATTTTCTATTAAAAACTACAGCCATTTTCACTAGCTTCCATTTAAGAGGTTGTTGTATTTTCTGACTACACATTCCATGTTCTATTATTCTCTCAAATTCCATGTTTAGAAACTACCCAAAATGCTAGACCTAGAGAAACAATAAAGTATACCAAAACATACCCAAACAAATACAGATGGGGTGGTGGGAGAGAGTATCCAGGAAGACAGGAGTGTCAAATTGGTGGCCCCTAGACCAGATACGTCACAAGCAGGCCAGGCCAATCCCAGTTCCGCAAGGGGAAAAAATATCACGATAGGTCACGAGATGGCAATGTGACATGGTGAGTTTGACACCCATGCAGTAAGAGCTTGGATACATGGATGTTCTGTGTTATATAAAATGAAAGAATCAGATATGGAGCTAATTACAAAATGTCATTGTTTGTATTTTAGCATTTTTAATTCCATTTCTCTAGTGAAAAAGTCATAGATACAATTAATCAAACACATCTTGAAAGTCATCTCAGATAATAAGAGCAAGAGGGTTATCTAATATTAATGATTCTCATAATTGTCCCATGTAAGTTGAAACTGAGCTATTTTGTAAAGTTGTACACATTCCGAAAATGATTCGGTATCATTTAAACATCACTTTATTTTTAGTAAGCAAATTCCTTAGAACTGCAGCACCTTTTTGCAAGTTTAAACCAAATCCTAAAAAGGTTGGACGATTTTAATGAATAACACAGAGAAACTTTTTATACAAGGCTGGAATGTTTTTTTGAATCATTTTTAAATTATGCACCACCTTAGAAAGAAATAGAAAAGGAGCATAGTGTTTTAGTATGGCTTATATTATGTCAAACTCGCAGCTGGATGCATCACACAGTGGCCATACCCATGCCCGGTTTAGCAAAGAGGAGAAAAGTCCTGATATGTCATGTGATGCCAGCATGATAACGCAAGTTTGATACCCCTGGTTTATATGGTTAGCATTGATAATCTTTTCTCCTCCCTCTTCTTCCACATTGTTTTCATTCTTCTAATTCCAGATTGTTTTGATATCCAAATCAAGAAATGTTGTAAATAGTATTATCCTCAACATTATGATTTGGTATGGGTCAGTAAATTGGTATGCATTCACCCTATATCTGAAGCATTGTGCTGCTAGCTGTCTATAAAAGTATTTGAAACACCTTGGGTGTTTGTTTGTTTTCTTTTAATCCAGGGTTTAGAATTGCAGGAAACCTCCTGTCATACTGCTGAAGCTCACAGAGTTGATGATATTTTTGCGATGGCCTTTGAACATCAGGAACATAATAAGATGTTCTCCCTCAACCCTCATTTTGGAAATATTTTAACACCTTGTGCTGCTCTTCCTGTAAAACTCTACTCAGATGCCAGAAATACCTTATCTGGAATAATTGATTCTCCTGAAAATCGGAAGCAGTTCAAAGAAGACTTCATAAAAGTACTCTTATGGATGTTAATCCAGTACTGCTATAAGAAATCAAAAACACCTAGACCTCTTGAAAAAATGTGTAAACCGCAACAGGAGTATTCTTCAGCAGGACCATCTGAAGTTTTAAATAAGACAATAGAAAGATCAGATTCATGGAAAGATGAAGATGGACTCAGTATGGAATCTACAGAAGACTGGACTGATGATAGCAATCTCTTTGATGATGAACCTAGCAAAAAAACATTAAAAACGAATGTCACAGTACCACAAGATGGTTCACCAAGACCTTTCTATTCTCTTCCAGGCTCAGTAGAAATACATACCACGGATGATGAAGTACTTGAAGTAGCCAGTGTGAATAAACTCTATAAAACTGTTGTCTTTGGTCTTCCTGTTGTAGATGCTGGAAAACACTGGGGAAATATGGATTCATCCCCTATTAAATTCAGTAACTTCTATTCTGAGTTATTAAGCATTCCTGAAGAATGGAGAACTGCACCATTATCGGCTGCCAAATTCCATCAGATGAAGCAGAAGTTTCCAGTAGAGTGGTATCATTTTTTACTTGGCCAGCTAAACCTTTTTCATTTGAAAGAAAATCCTTCAGATTTACTCAAAGATCTTTTTAAAGACACTGCTTTGAAGGATTTGTATGCCCAGAGTGCCTTATCCTGTTATATTGCAATGTTTGGATTAGATGATACTATTGTTTCTCCTGGTCATATTTTCAGAGCCTATAATGGAAGCCTTCCATGGTCAGTCTGTTTGGAATGGTTAATAGGAAAACAAGAGTTGTATCAATTAACACTAAAAACGTTCAGGTAATTATTATTTTTTTGACATGTACGTGTATACATCTGAACTAGATTGTGTTGTTTATGTTTGTCATATAATATATGTGTCTATGTGGCAGGGGTGGGTTCCTGCAAGTTCCAACCTCCACAAATCTACCATGCCGTTTAGAACCGGTTCCAGCTCCCTCCCACCACCTGTCCGCACCACGCTTGCCCCGCCCGCCACTCACTGATTGGCTGGCTCACCAATTGCCCCGCCCACCTCTAAGAGTCCTATCTAAACCTTAAAGTCTTAAAGCTGTCAAGTTTGAACATCCCTGGGCTTTTTTTTTCTGAAGGGTTAGGGGTGCAAGGGCCTTGTAACTTGACAGCTTTAAGACTTGCGTGGTTCAAATGCCAGAGTTCCTGAGCCAACATTTTGGTTGCTAAACAAGAGCGTTGTTAAGTGAGTTTCACCATTTTACAAGTTGGCCACGCCCACCCAGTCACATGGCTGGCAAGCCACTCCCACCCGGTCACATGGCCAGCAAGCCATTTCCACAAAGCAGGCCACACCTACAGAAGAGGTTCTAAAAAAATTGAAACCCACCACTGGTATGTGGGTATATGCATCATTGTTTTATTAATTTATTTTGTCACGTTTATGTAGTGTATATTGGAGGTGGTGACTATTTGAGAGCTGTATGCAATGAAATATCATTTTAATATATGCCAATTAGTGCACATTTAAAGTGAAAATAAAGTTATTCTAAAATATGAATAATATTCTGGATACAACTATTTTGAATACAAATATTATTCTCTTTAGATACAAATAATATTCTGGCTATAAAACAAATATGTGCCTTATATATATAGTCATATAAAAGCAACACAAATCTAATTTGTCTCTTAGTGTATTCATGGACACAACTATGTAATTTAGTTTCTCACTCCCAGTATTCTTGGAGGTCCCTCATCCACATGCTAGTCAAGGTCATTCTCATCCCTGGTAAGCATCTAAGCCTAGGCAAGGCCAGCTAGATCATGCCAGCTGAAGAAACATATATCCTAGGTATGATCTGGGAGCGAGGTGTTTCTGAATCATGGTCTATGAGTTGGCTGTCCCTTTTAGTTTGTCAGCAGCCAAAGGGGTAAAGATGAGAAGGCACATCCCAAAAAGTGTCCATGTAAGTACAACATTTCTATGCTAATAAAGCCTCCCAGGCAAGATTTTGATTTTGAAGGATATACTTTATAATACAGAAGCCTTGTGGAATGGACAGAGTAGTATTTCAGGTATATCTTCTTTGTAAAAGCCCTACAAGTAGAATAGAAAGGGGCATTCTGAAAATGGTATTGTTCATTAAGTCAAAAAATATAAACTGTCAAAGGCTTCAAAAATTTCAGAACAGAAGAGAGAGCAGTATCACATACTACAAATAGTACTGAATTTTTAAAATAACTATTCTAAGTGATCCATTTTTATAATACTGTAGCGGAAGAGCTATTGCTTTGTAATGAAATTTCACTAATGTGTTCCTGAAATTCTCAGTGACAAAGCTTTCTTACATTCTTGTGGCAAGAAAATAAATGTGCTGCATAGGAGTCAAGTCGTTCCTTATGCACACCCACAACTAGGAGGTAGATCATTGTGTTATGTGAAACTCAGTGCAATATATAAAACATCAGCAGATGCATAAATGTGGATTGTGTCAAGTTTGCCCAGTGAAATTCAATGCAAGATTATAAAATATAACTTTTAAATTATGCGTAAGAATCACTTGGCAATTGGCTGCTTTACTCATCTACTCCACAGGCTATTGCTGTCCAGACCATTTGGTTTGAAATAATGGCAGATGTATATCCCTCCTGAAAACATTAACATTGTTCCAGTGTTCAAGAAGGGAGGAATTGTTGAGATGTTTTTTCAGTGTGAAATTGCTAGAAAATCATTCAGGTTCAAAGCAATTTTAAATTTTGCTTTGATGTGTTTAGCAAATAAGATGCCACGCCCAAGCAGATGAATATGCGCTGTCTGATAAATGCTTAATGAAAAAGTAGAGCTAAGTCAACATATTAGAAGGAAATTAGCGATCTGATTCACATATTGCACTAAATTATGGCAATCAGCTAAACCATAATTAGTGAGCTTCCATATCATGCTAATCCCTGTGTTATAATTTACAAACCTCTATACCTTTAGTTTGCTATAGGAAATCAACAAATCTGTAGCTTAGTCTGAAATTATCAGCATTTGAAATTACTGGCCAAATAAAGACAAAAATGTTTCATCATAAGACTAAAAATACAAGTTCTTGGGAGGTTATGATCTTAATATTGAGAAATTGCATTTGAATTAATTGAGTAGTAGATTGGAGGCTGTCTGTATGATTGCCTTCATAATGCTTGCGATGTATGCTTCTAAGCATATAACAGTATGATAGAGATATTCTGTCAGATTTATATGTCAACTATCACAACCTAATACTGTAGGTCTGCCAACCATTTATATATTGTTACAGAGGCTATTCTCCAGATATATCTCTGGAATTATTCTCATGTTATTCCTTATATATTTCTTTCTGTTGTGTGTTTATCAGATATACAGTGAAGCTTATGGTTGATAAAGCAAGCCTGGGTCCAGTTGAAGACTTTCAAGAGCTGCTAAACTATCTTAAAGAATATGAAAATGACTGGTACATTGGGTTGGTGTCTGAAAAGGAATGGCCACAAGCTGTTTTACAAGAAACGCCATACCTTTTTTCTTTGGGGCATGACCCAAATATGGTAAGAGTTTCCTGACTTTTAGTGGATTTTTGACTAATATGCCAATTATTCCATTCTTGAATTTAGCAATAGTTAGACTTATATACCGCTTCATAGGGCTTTCAGCCCTCTCTAAGCGGTTTACAGAGTCAGCATATTGCCCCCAACAACAATCCGGGTCCTCATTTTACCCACCTCGGAAGGATGGAAGGCTGAGTCAACCCTTGAGCCGGTGAGATTTGAACAGCCGAACTGCTGAACTGCAGTCAGCTGAAGTAGCCTGCAGTGCTGCATTTAACCACTGCGCCACCTCGGCTCATTTAATGGCAATACTTACATGTTTTCTGTTGTTTGTCAAATAATTGTTTATCAAGCTGCTGTTGTGAACTTAGCCCTCATATTAGTATAGCACAAAGAAGCCCTCAGGGATGGGTGGCAGTGTTTATTCATTAATATTTTAATTATGGATTTAGATAAATAAATAAATATCAATGAAGGACTTGTTTCTGGAAAAGTTTGCAGATAGTTTAATAATATCAGTTCCTTAACAAAACAGCTTAAGACCTGTTTCATTAAAAGATCTACCTAGTAATTAAGATATTAGAGAAAGCAAACTGTACTGTTCCAAATTTCAGAATTTGCCTTTGCCATTGATATCCACTTGCTTTGATTTCAGAAAATATATTAAGTTATGTTTTAATTGTCTTTTTAGGCTTTAAGATTTTATTGTATGAATATTTTCCAGTTAATTCCCGTACTTCATCTTTTAAAACAGAAATGCATGATTTTTTCTTGGCTATGGACTTTATATCTTGGAGGGCTGCATTTTTTTAAAGTGGGATCACAACATACAGGTAGTTCTTTAAAGACAATTCAGACTGGAATTTCCATCACTAAGCAAAGTAGTCATAAAGGAATTCACCCCTGATTTTATTACCATTTTGCCACCAAAGTTGTGAAGTGATTCACACAGTTCACTTTGTTTGTCCCTGGGGAAGATTGCAAATCACGCAACCTCAGGATGCTGCAGCCATCGTAAATACATACCAGGTGTCAAATGTCTTGAATTTTGATTATATGGCCATGGAGACGCTGCGGTGGTTGTAAGTTTGAGGCCTTATCATAAGTCACTTTTTTCAGCATCATTGTAACTTCGAACAATTAAATGAATGGTTGTAAATAGAGGACTAACTGTACTAAAATGGATTATAGATGTGTAATATGACCAAGCTCTAGCTATGTTTTAACATTACCCCCTCTATCATAATTAAATTTACAAACTGATAACCATTTTTAGAGACCTGTAGTGGCCTCCATTTTTGTGTGCGGCCTGAAGCCTCAAACGGACCATCTCTGTGATAAAAGCACTGTAGCAATAATTTGAAAGTAAAGAATAAAATGACTGACATAGACGGAAGGTACACGTCCAAAGGAAACAAAACAACAAAAAACTTCAAAGAGTAACGCAAAATCTTACAGAGGCTCACCAGCTTCCCTACTGAAGAACTGGACAATAGTCCAGTTTAGGGGCCTTTCATCACATCATCAGGGCAGGAGCTATGCAGATTTCCGAAGAGATGCTATACAATTTATGATCACAATTGAGCCCAAAATTTATACTGCTGAGAAATTTGTTGAGTGAATTTTGCCCCATTTTATGACTTTTCTTGCCACATTTGTTAAATGAATCACTGCTGATGTTAATAATACAGTTGTTAAGTGAATCTGGTTTCCCCATTGAATTTGCTTGTCAGATCATGATCATATGACCTTGGGTCATAGCAACAGTCATAAATATGAACCAAGCATGTGAATTTTTATCACATGATCATGGGGATGCTGCAAAGATCATAACTCTGAAAAAATGGACAGAAGTCACTTTTTTCAGTGTTGTAACTTTGAATGGTCACTAAGCAAGGACTGTAAATCGAGGACTGCCTATACCAGAGGCACTGTAACCTAAAAAACACATGTCAAAGTTGTCACTAGATGATTTTTTTTTAATAGAAGCACCTACAGAATCTGCTGAATTGTACTGCATGGAATTCAGGGTCTTCTTCCATTAATCCTTCCATTAAAAGGAATGCAACTTAAATTGGTTATGTTTCCTGTGGATCTAAACCAGTGGTTCCCAACCTTTTTTTGGCCATGCCCCACCTAACCATCTCTAAAATCCCAACACTACTTCTGTGATGTATAATTCTTACTTTACTCAAAAAATGAGTAAAGTAATATGATCATGATCTGACTCTACTCACATGGAGGAAGCCTAAAAGGCCATTAACTTGGTTTAAACAAGGTTCAAATTGCCCCCATTAAAAATCAAATTGCCCCCTTGTGGGGCGTTGGTCCCACGTTGGGAACCACTGATTTAGACCAATCATATCTTGATCCAGCAGTTTTCACAATATCCATGGCCCGGATTTTTCTTGCTGAAGAAAAATAAAATCTGACTTCTCTGCAGTGTTCAAAGACAAGGCAACTTTTTGTACTTATTTTTATCTTCCAGGGAGTTTATACTGGCAGGATACTCACGCTTCAGGAATTTCGAGTACAAGTGGGAAAACTGAACGAGGAAGCTGTCAGAGGACAGTGGGGGAACCTCTCTTGGGAGCTGCTATATGCCACAAATGATGATGAGGAACGCTATAGCATCCAAGCACATCCCATACTCCTGAGGAACCTGACCATACAAGCAGCAGATCCTCCCCTTGGCTATCCTGTTTATTCCTCCGAACCTCTTCATCTGACTTTCTTGTAGTTCCCAGAATGAGGCCACTTCATTCCTTCACTGAAAATTGGGTGGAATGAGGGCACTTCTTTGGAGAGGGATTTTGAGCACATGCCTTTCAGTATCAGGTGACAATGGGAGAAGAATGCAGGCAATAAGATAATTATGCATTTTAATGTTGTATATTGTATACATTTTTATATAAAATCCCCCAAATCATTACCAATACTGTATTGACAAGTACCTTCCATAGGGGTATAAGTTTATATACCTTAAACCATAGATAAGTATTTTACTTTAAGATGGAGTCTACATCTATGATTGTTATAAGTTTATTTATGTGTATTATGAAAGGGATACTTGAAAAATATTTAATGTCTGTTCAATTTTGAAAAAGAAATGTTGGTTAAGAATTACAAATTGAATATTAGGGGAAAGAAATATCTTGGTTTAATAAGATGGAAGTTCCCAGCATCATTGGGCAACCACAAACACAGAGACTTGTAACCATGCTCCTACTTTCAAACAAATCCTACCTATTTACTAATGAGGAAAAAATGGGAGTTAACAGAAGAAGTTGTGAGGATACACAAAAAAGCAGAAAGCCAAGTCACAGTGGGAAACAAATATACTACCTGACAGATCAGCCATGAGCTTTGGGGTTGTGAGGGGACTGACCAGAGGTGGGTTCCTACCAGTTCGCACCTATTCGGTAGAACCGGTTCGTCAAATCTACCAAACAGGTTAGAAGAGGTTCCACCAGTGGACCCGGAAAGCAGGCCACACTTACAGAAGAGGTTCCAAAAAATTTTGAAACCCACCACTGGGACTGACCAAGCAGATTTGCCATCATAAGGCTATATTGCTTGCAGGAGAGGTATTGTGAAATCTGTATTTAATATCTTGTCACAGTGACAAAGCATTCTGTTCATCTGTAGTTGGTAGAACTGTAAACTATGCAGTGTAATTCCAAGAATCAACACTGGCTTTTGAGTACTTCATTGTTGAGTTGGAAATAGCAGATAGAAGTTTTAATTCTCCCAAGTTACGAAGCTATCTTATGAAAAATTGAAATGGAGCACGTTTTTGAGAGATTTACTAAACTATTTAAAAAAGTATAGCTAAGCTCATATATTATAAAAAGCTATGTACTAAAAGAGCAGAATCATCATAGTGGTTGACCCAAAATGTGGATGAATCTTGTTTGTGTCCCTTTGCCATTCATTTTCCTATCCCCACTCCCTCTCTTGACTGGCGCCAAAAATGTTGCTGTTTTTGCATTTTGAAAGAGAGGGGTTTAATTGGCTAAAATAAGCATTTAAAGCACTACAGAGGCTTAAGGCATCCATGGAACTCCTGAAAATGGATCCTGGTCAATTCACTTTAGGAATACAGTCTCTGGCATACTATGAAAAGTTTGTGTGGATCTGAAGCCAATGAAAGTTGCACATTCCTGCAGTAGGTCATAAGCAAACCTTGTTATAGGCTAGTGTTATATAAACTCAGCCAATATTTGAGGAGATGGGTTGGGAGAAAGACAAGATTTGAATCATCATCTTGGTATATACGTTGAAAAGCCAACAAGTGAATGAACTTTCTTTGGGTAGCCATCTCATGCTGCAAAGCTAGAAGTTTTATATAGGTACATCTGTCTTGTTGCATGTTTTTGCATCATTTTTTACAAAAGAAAACCATAAACTTTTCAAGCAGAGGTTCCTCTCTTTTCTTTGTGCTGGTTCATGTTCGAAGGAATGCTCAGCTGCTCCTTTTCCTTATGAAGACTTTTTGTAATAAGAAACATCAGCATCCTGTAAGAAACAATACAGCTACTTAGGCAAGGCCAGTCAAATAAAGTAAGCAAGACCCTTGAAATGCTTCAATCCCATGCATGTAACATGTATGCAGAAGTCAGAAAAAGCAAAAAATAAGTTCCATTAACATACAATTCCCACTCAGCTATTCACTTTAAAACAATATAAAACTGATAACGTACAATCCATACTAAACTAGTGAGGCTTAGCTAATCCAATATACCACCTAGGACTACATTTTTTAACATTTAATATGAAATCTTGAATCTGAAGCATTTCATTAAATAAAACATTTGTGTCTGGAATTAAAGCATGTTGAAAATGCTGTAGTGGAAGGGTCACATCTGGTTTTAATGCTCTATTTGACACAATAAACTGTGGACTTGGCTTTGCAAATTTCCAGACTATACATTGAGGCAACTAAAAAAAACACCTGAAGAATCTGGTTTGCTTCGATTCGATTCTATTATAGAAAGCATTCAGATAACCGCCTTCTACTTACATCAGAAAGTGGTCATATTTTCCTTTAAACTTTGAATAGAGCTGAAAGGGGGGGGAAATCACTGGGAGTTGGGCAGCAAATTTCAATAAATAACTTCTGGCTGACTGTTCAACAAACCATAATAATAATTTTAGTTCTTGGGATGAACTCAGTACAAATAATGGGAAGACTGATAGTCTGACCTGTAATGGCGCTCCTGATTATATTTATATTCTCCTGTCTCTCATCCACAGCGGAAAGAAAAGTGAAACCCTGCCATTAAGAGCCAAGGTGGCGCAGTGGTTAAATGCAGCACTGCAGGCTACTGCTAGATCAGCAGGTCAGCGGTTCAAATCTCACCGGCTCAGGGTTGACTCAGCCTTCCATCCTTCCGAGGTGGGTAAAATGAGGACCCAGATTGTTGGGGGCAATATGCTGACTCTCTGTAAACCGCTTAGAGAGGCCTGAAAGGCCTATGAAGCGGTATATAAGTCTACTGCTATTGCTATTGCTACTGGGAAGTCCGGAAATCTCCAGCTCCAAAAATGTGGTCTATTCTCTCTCTTGCATTCTACCCCACAAACCCTCAACTATTCCAAAAATCAGATTAACTGGATCCCAGTCCCAAGCATTGTTAAAATGCACTCCTCTGTATGTTGGGCAAAACCAAGTGTGTTCATCAGGCAATAGGAGTTGTATATATCTGCACTTCAGCCTCTGAGAAAGCCAAAAATCTGGACCTGGAACAAAAGGACATGTTCTGGAACGTACACAAAAACAAATGATGCATAGAGCTTTCAGATTGTGTACCTAATATTCAAAGTAGGAATCTTTATGTTTGGCTTCCTATTAATGTCCATCCCAAAACAAACAGGCAGGTACATTATATCATGCAGGTATTGGAATTGCAGGAACAAATAAAAGTATGAACAAAAGAGATGGGATTTAAAAATCAAGATGTCAGACACAACTGCAATTAAAGTGCATAGTCTTTAACTGGATATTCCTGCTAAAAAAAATAGAGCTGCAGTCACCACTAAAGGATATATAGAGCCAAAAATATCAATTTCTTGCAAGGACACTTAAACCTGGAGTTTTCTGCATAATATGCTACCTTCTCAGATCAGCCAATCTAGTAGGTTTAAATGATACCAGGATAGGAAAAAGATTCTATTTGAAGAACATACCACTCCGCTCTTGAAGTTCTCTATCCGCTTCTTTCCCATGCGGTTCAATAGCCACCATGCCCAAGTGGGCATATACTGCCACATATAGCATACTGCCAAGTAGGGATGATCACTGATCCAGGCTTCCTTCACATCATTAGCCATGCTAACCAGAGTTAAGCGAACACAGCGTTCAGTTGTCATTTTGTGAGATTGGTCCCCAACATTTTGATTAACCTGGTAATGGGATGGACACACAATAGAAAATGAGACAAAATCAGAATATACTGCAAGTGTGACTTGCTAGGCTGATTAATCTCTGTGTCCCTCCTTTAAAAAAATATCTGTTAGATATTACAGAACTTCGAATGAAGATTCCTTCCTCCCCTTTGCCATCATAAGGAAAAACTAAAACTCAAAATCAGAACAGGAACAACAAAATTTCAAGTTACACATTAGGAGTAGATATGCTGTTAAGAAAATGCCAGGGCACCATTGGTTGAATTAAATGCCATAGGCATCCCTTTCCTGTTAAACAGCATTTAACAGGGAATGTGTCTCTAGGCACATAAAATAATGGTCTTAGCAAATAATTGCAATCACAACTTAGGGGCCCAGACTTGGCCTATCTTGCACTGTCATCAGCAATCACAGAACAGGGCAATAATTAACTAGAACAGATTTCATTTCATTCTTAACTCTATTGGTCCAGAGTTCATTGTCCCCTAAGTCATTTAGGTCAGTTTGATCTAGTGCAGGAGTATCAAACTCAAGGCCAGCGAGCTGGAACTGGCCTGCAGGGTGCTTAGATCTGGCTGTGGGCCTGCCCTGGAAACAATGAAGGACCAGCCTGCGGTGCCTCTGTCAGCAAAAAAGGAGCTCAGGAGGGCCGCGTGCCACCATTCCAAGTTCCATTTTCACTGGCAGAGGGCTGCAGGAGGCCCTCACAGCTGAAAATGGAGACTCAATGATGTCGAGCTGGCCACATGCACCCTGGCCACACACCCCACGGTCAAACGCAACCATGATACAGCCCTCAATGAAATCGAGTTGGACACCCCTGGTCTAGTGGTTATGGTCCCAATCTAGAAACCAGGAGAGAAGAGTTCTAGTCCCACTTTAGGCATGAAAGGCAGCCTTGTGACCTTGGGCCAGTCACTCTTTTAGCCCAATTTACCTCACAGGGCCGTTGTGAGGAAAATAGGAGGAGAAGGAAGGAGCCTTAGGTATGTTCACCACCTTGAGATATTTGTAAAAATAATACAGGGAAGATTAAATAAATAAATAAATTCCTACCTTTGAGACTTCTTCAGTAAAGACATTTTGGATGATCTGTGACTGGACAGGCCCTGGACAGATATTGATTACACTTATCTCAGGGTAATCACCAAGCTCAGGCCGAAGAGAGTTGAAGAAGCCCTAAGAAAGAAAAGCAGTAACTTTATTACAAGGGTCTCCACAACCACAAACAGAGTAAACTATCATGTGCCTCAAAGATAGTAACTGCACACAGATGCAATTATAAACACAATCTACAACGTTGCAAAGTTTTTGTTATCTAGTTTCAAGGTTTTAGTAAGGGATCCATAATGCCATTTAAGATGGGTTGTTATATAAGCTTACTCTGTTTTACCGATTTGGCATCTCCATTTTTCTTCCCTTGTCTATTTTATTTGCTGGGTAATGACTGTGCTAAAACTGATCTACACCATGTAAAAAACAACAACACACCATGTACTTTTCTGAACCCCATGCTGTGGATCTTGATACCAAGTGCCAATATCATCCAAGCTAGAAAAAAATAAGTGTGTTGGTTGTACTAGGGAACCCAGATTTGATGTAGGGTTTCCATAATTAACTTACAAAAATCCAAATATTCACTAGCAAAACAAAGACCATTTTCTATACTTCTTTGATGGTGTCTCATAGTTACTCAACCCAGTTGCAACTTAGATATAGCAACCCTGTTCAGGAACCACCAGTTGCTAATCATTACAGAAACCCACATTATTACAGTCACTGAATTCTGGTCAAATTTAATTGAGAGGGAAACACAACTGCTGCCTAGTACTTCGTACTTCAAACTACACAGCCAAAAACTTTTTTAAAAATATGTGTAGTGTCTTTACTGGATATCTGACACAGATATCCAGTAAAGACACAGAGTTTAAAGTCTACAGAGTTATGCTTAGATCGGCTTGGGGGCCTCACAGGCATCCTGCCATAAGAAGAAGAAGGGGGGGAGGATGAAAGGGGGAAGGGGTAGAAAGATGAAAGGGGAAAGGATGAAAGAACAATAAACCTTTGTGTGTACCTGATAGGAAATTAAAAGGGGGGGAATAATAAGTGAGAATGACCAGAGTAGCTGGATCCTGTTCATACCAGCATCTCACAGCCAGAAACCCTGAGAAATATGCTGATTAACATCTCCCCACAACATCTCAGAGTTGTCAAAACATCTTGGTAAGCTCTGGTTGGCTGGAAACTGACTCACGGGGGGAGAGATGGGCTGGGGGCAAACCTATATCTTATTTTTGTTTCCAGTGAGCGCAGGCGGGGGGGGGGATAGGCATGGTGAATGTTGCAGTGCCTCTGCAGTGAACGACTGCTGTGGTACTCCAGCATTCGTAAGGTTGGGACTGTGTCATAAGTGCTCGGGGAGTTAATTGTCGTAACTAAGGGATTACCTGTACTGGGGTCTCTTCTCTTAGCCAAATCTTCATGGCCTAGCAAGCCTCAATATTAACATAGGGCCTTTGAAACATCTCTAGTTGCAATTGCTAACGAACATAAGCCTAAAACACAGCCTTCCTGGCATCCCGCAAATATCATGGAATTGCAATTTCATGACTGCTAGCTGGGAGACTTCTTGGAGTTGTGCTCCCAACACATTCTGGGAACCTCACTTGACCAAAGCAGCTGGAAAAGGGACTTACCTGCAAAGCATGTTTGCTGGCACAATACCCAGTTGCTAAGGGAGCTCCCATGATACCCATGACGCTGCTCATCGTGACAATCTTTCCCTGTTTCCTTTGGATCATGTGGTCCAGGACAAATTTAGTTAAGGAGACAGTGCCCAGATAGTTGAGTTCCATTATAGCGTTATAAACATTAACACTTGTATCTACGAAAAGAGAACGCTGAGAACGTCCACCGTTGTTCACCAAAATGTCAATCTTTTGTAAGAAAGGAAATGAAGGAGAAAATAGTTATACTATGGCTTCTTGTCAGCATCAAGAACTGAAGTGACTGTGGACTTAGAATGCAGCCAGACCTCAAATAACTCTCTCTGCTTGAATTTCTGAAGCCCCACTCATTATGCATTTCCAACATCATTTTCTGGGATATATGAAAGGGTTTCTTACATATATCTGCATTTTCACGCTCCGTCTTGGCTACACTGAATCCTTTCTAAAAGGGTAATTGTATTACACACAAAAGCAAATGAACCTCCCATTCCAATGTAAGGTAAAGGTTAAAGGTTCTCCTCACACATATGTGCTAGTCGTTCCGACTCTAGATAAATATATTTGCCCTAACGACATGTTTCTTACCCTGCTCTGCTTCTCTCTCTCTCTCTCTCTCTCTCTCTCTCTCTCTCTCTCTTTCTCTCTCCCTGCCCCCACGTGTGTTCTGTTCCTCTCTGTCTCTCAAAAAATGAAACTTACCCTCCCAAAATGCTGAAGAACTGTCTTTGTGGCAGATTCATGGGATCCCCTGTCAGTCAAATCAAGTGGCAAAATGAGGATATCCTTCTCATTTAGGCTGCTGATCTCTAAAGGGAAAAGGATAAAAACAAAATGTCTTGTAGAAACAATGGATCTTCCCTCCATCCCACACCATAAACACAACTCAACAAGCAGAAAGGGGCACCCAAAGTTCTCCTCTCCTCCCTCCCCTTTGATGTTCCATTTTTCACACACTCCTGGCCCTTCATGATCTGATGGGCATCATTTGTCCAGTAAGTGCTTCTTTGGAATTCTTTTAAGTTTGTCATTCGTGACTTATTTTCTATGGGCTCTGTTTTCCAATTTTATTCCAATTTTAGAATAAAATAGCTTGTCTTTGCATATTTGTGTTCCCAGGGAATACCTCTTTGGTACTGCATGAGTTGTACTTCTTCCAACTCAAGATATCCTCACACATCTTTATAAAACATCATTCCCTTTGAGCTAAGGTTGGGCCCCACCCTGTTGCTTTTCCAAAAAGCCCTAAAAGCATGGATTTATAAGAGGACCTGGGGACCACAAACAGAGATGGAGCCAGTCAAATGGCAGATATGATTGTACTGTTGCCACCATGGGTGGTGGTGGAGACGGTTTTTACTATATGATGGTTTTTTTAAAAAAAATTGTAAGCTGCATGGAGTCCCCTATATGTAAGTTGGATAGTTATATAAATTTCATTAATAAATAATAAGTTTTCTCCAACATCATAGCTTAAAAGTGCAGCTTTCACAGCCTTATATTGCAACTTGGAAAACATACCCTTGACAATTTGTATCTTTTTGTTAGTATAATTCTTTGCCGCTAACTAACATGCCAAGTTAGCATGGTATATCTTGTTACTGGGGCCCTCGGGGGTTTAATTCAAATATACGTTTCGGCCCTTCAGAACATGGTGTCTGTTCAATCAGGATTGAGAAACCTGCATTGCTCAGATTGATTGCATGTGAATGACCCATGGCCTATTTTTAAAACTACTTTGCAGAAATGGACTCTGAAACACAACAAGGGGTTTGTCCCTTCCCTGCTATTTGGGAGGAACTGCCTAGTGTCAGAAAACAGACAAGATGGCACCTGAGAGAGAACATGGGTGTGTGATCACTTTTGGCTCTTGGCCAGGCCCCTGAGGAATGTGTTTCTCTCTGTGAAAAACCAAACTGTTATCCCTTAAAAAAAATCACTCAGAAGGCAAAAGTAATTTTTGGAGCTGCTTTTCTCGGCCTATTTCCCAACAGGAGTCTTGTGAGCTGAGGACTGGAGGAACTGCAGTCCAACATGTCTGAAGGGCGTGAGGCTGGAGAAATGCCCCTTTTCTGCACAGCTTCATCCAGGCTTTTACATAGCCCCTGCTTATCTAAGAGCAGAATATAAGAGTTAAGGGGAGTTTCTGCAAGCTCTTCATATTGTAATTTAAAAAAACAGGCAGAACTGGATTTCAGTAATTCTTTACTAGCAGTAGCCTATGTCTGTGTGTATGCATGCATGGGAAGCATAGGGTGGGAATATATGCCCACTCTGAAGCACATGCCTGAGAGAGAGGAGAGAGAGGGGTTTTAGAATGAAAAAAATCGTTCAGAGCTGCTGTGTGCTCACTTCTCCTATATGGATGATCAGATGATTTGGGTTTTTTTCCTCCATAGCCAGACATATCCAATTTTTTGGAACTGAACTGAGTTTCTCCTTACACACCAAATGTATTCCCATTTTGTTCAGTTTTTGGAGAGTTATCACGTGGGCACATAGGGTTGGAAAAAAATAAAAAGTATTCTCCCAAGCTCTTTTATAGGAAGAATCTGGGAATCTAATAAAGGAAAATTATCTAGGTCGCTCCCTTGGTTTGTTATTTGTATACTCCCTTTAATTATGACAATATCAGCAATTCTAAGGCATTAGAAATCAAGTCATGTGTTGTGGCCCGCCAGCGGCCAGTGGAGCTGGCAGCAGATTCAGACAGTGAGGAGGTTGGGGAGGAACATGGGCCAGGGAAGACTCAGACGTGGGCTCTGTGTTGGAGGCAGAGCCGTATACCAGTTATCAGCTGCCTTCAGAGTGAGACATCAGTGAGGCAGACGAACAGCTGAGGCCCATTCCCAGTGTGCACATGCGCAGAGTTGCCAGACGAAGGGAACAGCTAAAGAACAGAGGTCGACTTGGGAGTAAGACGATGAATGGCCTCTCCCAGAGGAAATAAAAAAGGAACGAAAGGGGAGTGGAGGTTGCAGGAGACAATTAGTTCACTTAATTGATTTGTGAATCTCCGAGACTCCTTGCCAAGTTTTGCAGATATGGCAGCTCTCTAAGCCAGATAAGGTCTGTGGTTGTAAATCCTCCCTTGAAAAACTTTGCTGGATGTGAATGAGCAGAATTCACAGGAAATTAATAAAAGGGTTTTTTGTCAGGACAAGGACTTTGGTTCATGCTCTTGGGAAGCCTAAGTCAGAACATCAAGGATTATGATGGCATCTGTTAATGATTAAATCACTTGCCATAAATCAAACAAAGATAATTAATCCGGCGCCTTTTGGAGCTGAGCAAATGTAATATGCAACATCAATTTTGTAAGAAAGCTCCTCTCTGCTCCACTTGGCTACATATCAAGAAAGGGAATGAAACCTGGATAAGCTAAACACCTATGCAACTGCAACCTAGCTCAACCAGCCTAAGGTGTAAACAATATTGAGATGAAAAAAAATAATCTTATTGACAATTAGCTGTCCATGAATCATTCAGTTTTTCCTAATCTTGTCAGCATGGGATACCTCCTATAATTGACAAGTATAATTGGAGCCAGTATCAAAATGGTTTGCTGTTGCTTCCTTCCAGAATATCTCTTATTTTCTTTCTTGCTGTCTTGGTTTTTGGGTAGCAAACCGAAACCTACTTAACCAGGCAAGGTCAGACAGATGCTACAGAAACCTAACTGGGATTAGCACAAGGCCTTCATGGTATTGGACCTGGGTACTTGAGAGACCGCCTGCTGCCAATCACCTCCGCTAGACCGATTAGATCCCACAGATTGGGCCTCCTCCGAATTCCATCCGCCGGCCAGTG